AACCAGACCACCATACAGCTTATTCCCACTGCCTCCTTTTTAGAAGATGTGCATAAAAAGTTACAGCAATGGTTTTCGCCATCCTCTCTGCTCATCTGGGGAGGCCTTGCGCTTGAGGGCTTACTATCCTAGGAAGTATTATATGTTTGCACTCCCGGCAAAAACACCTGCAACAATGGGTCACCATAATGACGGTCCTTTTAAAAGAAAAAGGAGAATTTGTGGGTAGAGCTGGTCAGATCTGGTTGAGTCAGCTAGAGTAGCAGTTGAAGCATACTTCCTGCTCATAGAGATATAAACCACAGGCACGTCTGCCTAGCTTGCCAGCCCTGAGCTGTCCAAGCTCCCTACATGCCCCCAGGGGACCAATCAGTGCCTGTCACCAAGCAGTGCCAATCACAAGTGCCTTACATCAACTCCCCACTGAGTAATTGGCTGAGAAGGACTCAGGAGGTTGGGAATGCTGGGACTATAAAATCCCCCCAGTGTATAGAAATAAATGAGACCTGCTTAAGCCTGTTCTCCTGACCTGTGTTCCTTGTGCACCTGGTTCACACTTATCTCCTGCCGGAGATCTAGCCCTACATAGGACCAGAAGAAAATAGATCCTGCTCCTACAGGGCTCATCTGGTGGCCATTTTCTTGTATATCTGGATCCCTGGTGGGTTCCATAGAGAGTATTTGGGACAGATTTCACACTGACCATCACCAACCTCCCTGTGATTCACATAACCAAGTATTACTCACCACAGTTTTGTAAACTTCCCTCTCAACACTTCAGCCTCCACCACAAACTTCACAGAAAATAAGTCAGAGATTTTGCTGCCACAGCTATGTCCTCTCTGCTCAGTCCTGCTTTCTCCCATGGTCATTGTTTGCATCAGTGGCTGTGATCCTGCATAATCATGGAAAAATATGTAGTGGCAAGGGAAGATGGAGTAGAACAATCTATCTAGAGAGCATTTGAAAATAAGCTTCACCATTAACAATATTATGGGACATGATCCCTTCTCTACTCAGAATGTTTCTCATCTTTTGAACTGTTACATAACAGGGAAACTGAGGCTTCAAATCCTTGGAGAGATAGGGTTAGTGCCCTGACAAACTGTCTTTTCCCTGTGCCCAATCAAACAGAATTTCTCACCTTCTTATTTTTATTTTTTATTGCATTTTCTTTTGTTATTCCATCATGACTGTAATATAGGCTAAAGACAAGCTGTCCTGCAGTTACCCAATCTTTGCTTATTACTCCAATGGTAATAGACAAGGAGAAGAAAGGTGGGGAAAATGCCAAAGTGTTCCTACTCATTTAGAAACTCAAATGAAGCTGACCTTAGTAACTAGTGGCTTATTTCAAAATTATTTGGTTTGACCCCTACATGTCTTCTGTGTCCATTCACTTTATATCTTTGTGACTTTTATCAGGTGGTCCAAAACCTTTCCATCCATTTCTATTTCTAGAAAATATAATAAGGTAACTAATAATTTTGTTTGATGTATATATTTTCGGACAATTATTTCTTCTTCATTATCTATACCACTAAATTTTAATTTAAAAAGTTTTACAGTAATTTTAAATAATTTAGAGGTCCACACTTCTTATACATAAGTAATGTTCAACTTACGATGGTTTGCATTCCAATGGATCAATAATTGTAATTCTTTTTTTCTTTCCACTCTCTCCAAAGCAATCTAGCTCAGTAGCAATCTAGATTGCTACTGTGCTCAGTAGCAATCTAGATTCATATTTTCAATGCTTATCTTTCCATGGGTGATTGATACCTAGTACTAATACTCTTCCTTGATACCAATCAGACGTACCAAGCAACAATTTCCAGTAGCCATATATATATACATATATATATATATATGCATATATATACATATATATAGACTAATCACAAGAGAAAACAAACACTACATAACAGTATATCATAAATATACAATTATTATAAAGATAGGCTTTTTGTTAGATGTATTTGCCCAACAGCAGAATAATGGAAGTGTTCAGAGGCATGTAAGGTAGCATGGCTTCTGCAGGATATTTGTAAGAGATGCATATTTTTTGTCATTTGTGGGGCTTGCACTAGGCCTGGGTCCTCTCCCTCAGCTGTTCAGCTCAAGGCTAGCTCTCTACCACTTTAGCCATAGAGCTACTTTGGTTTTCTAAGTGGTTTATTGGAGATGAGAGTCTCACAGACTTTCCTGCCTGGGCTGGCTTTGAACAGTGATCCTCAGATCTGAGCTTCCTGACTAGATAACATTATACGCCATTCAGGCCATTGTAATACAAGCCACTGGCACTCAACTTGTATTATACACATTTTTGACCAATAATATATCCAACCTACAATGGATTTATCTAGATGTAATGATAATGTTTAGCATAATTTTCACTCTATGCTTGAATTTTTTTAAAACCTTGTAGTCAACCTTCTATAACATCTTAATAGCCTCTATATATGTTTCTGTATATGTATTTTGTATGTGTATGAAAATAGGTAAAGAATTCCTCCTTAAGGTATTGACCACCCACAGTGGGCAGCATTCCCAGTAATAGCTATTCTTTTTTATATTCATGGCAATTTATTTTTATGACTTTATCTATTTACATATCTCTCAGATTTATTTGAAAAGTTGCTTATGTCAAATATGTAATTCATTGGGAAATTGTGTCTTTCCATTAGTTTTTCTCCATTTTTTCACAAGGTTTATAAGTATTACTGACCTTTTAAAAATATTTATTTTATTGTGACATTCAGGTGAATTACAGAGGGATTATAATTACATGAATCAGATGAGTACAGTGATACTGGATGATGAGATAATTTTGTACTATCTCTTCTGTTCCCTCACTCTCTCCCTGTCCCACCCTCATGTCTCCACCTATGAAATATATAAACTTGTATAGTTCACTTCCATGCATGTCCAGTGAGCTCCCCTGCTTCCCCTATTCACAATTATTACCTCAAATTCTATACAATTCTGTATTCTCTCAACACTCCTGAGTATGTACACTTGAATATACCATATATGAATAAAACAGAATCATCAAAAATTACAAGAAGAAAGACAGATCTTTTGTGCTGTATCATTGAGTTCATTTAGAAATATATGAATATTTACATGTATTTTATATAAATATGAAAAGGCATGTAGACATTCTAATTGTTTCTCTCCTAAGAGTATTCTCTTTTGGTCTGATTTTGTGTAGATATTTAGAGTCCTGTATGATTTATCATATCCCAATGCTGCCTTTTCATAAACCATCTATACATTGTTTTCTCTTGGGCTCTGACTTAGACCAAAACCAAGCTGTCCTCATTTTGACCATTCCTTCCAGCAGGTGGCAGGATTTACACACCAGTATCCAATGAAGATCATTAGGGGTAGGGCTGGCAACCTTGTAACAATAGGCTCTTGATATATTTAGCCAGTGATTTCTCCAGGCCCTTCACCTGCAGACCTCTGAACACCAGAGTCAGTCTGTGGAAGTTCGAGATAGTAGAAATTTATTCTCTTCACAGGTAGAAAAAGCTCTCACACACCTCTGGCCCAAAGCAATTTTTTGGTTAGGAGGATGAGCTATCAGTCTGCCTTGCTCTCCTCAATACATGTTAGAGACAACTTCTCTGACCTGATCTAGCTTCGAGATTGCTAATATTCACAGACAGAAAGGAAGAGTCTTGGTATCTCCTATGTATTTGCAAGGGTGAGAACATAATGAAGACCCAGAGTATATATCATAACACTGGAAGCCCAATGAGAAAGAAACAACATAATATATAAAGACATTGTCTCAATGTCCTTTCTCTTACTCACTGATTTGGTTCTGACCACCTTCCATGTGAGACTACATGCTTCTTAATTATTAGTGTTCCACATGAAGAAGCAGATATTGGATAAATTAATCACCTTGTTTTTGAATTATTGTATGTCATTGTAAGATTATTAAACATAGCATGTACATTGATAACATGTGGTTGTAAGTCCAAGATTAAAACGTCTAGCTGGAGACAGTGGCATATCACAAATACTGAGGTAATTTTGTTTTTTTCTGGTAGCAACAAGCTTCTGATTCAGCCCCTTAGCCATCAAACCACGGGACATAGCTTACTTAGGACATTGTTATAATTGCTTCCCTTGCTTTAAATGTTTAAATAATTTACATAGTAAAGCCAAATAAGGGAAAGTTTGCCTCAGCTTTATACCTGATCTTAAGGAGAATCCTCATTTCTGGGGGTGGGGGGAAAAGGCTGGTCGAGGGGCTTGAACTCTGGGGCCTAGGTGCTACCCCTGAGCTCCTCAGCTCAAGGCTAGTGCATTACTAGTTGAGCCACAGTGCCACTTCCATTCTTCTGGTGGTTAATTGGAGATGGGATTCTCACAGAATTTCCTGTCCAGACAAGCTATGAACCATGATCCTCAGATCTCAGCTTCTTGAGTAGCTAGGATTACAGGTGTGAGCCATTGGGGCCCAATGAGAATGCACATTTTATTTTATGGTTATATGTGTGTGTTGGAACAGACTGAGACATAAAAACAGCTTATATCTCTTGCTATGGCAGTGAGAATGTTCCAATGCATAAAGATATTAAACCAGTTTAAAATGTCCAGAAACTCTATTCTCCATATACGGACTATAAAACATTCATTTTGCCTTTATCTTATCCCTTTCTAGAGTCATTACAGAGAATTAAAATTAGGACATACAGGAAAAGCAGGTCCTCATCCCTGCAGGCACCATTAGATCTACTCATAGGACAGCAGACTGATTGTAACTTGTCTTGTTTGAATGAATCATATTCTCTAGTCTAAAACTAAGACACATGGGCACCATGGACCTATGATGATTTCCTGAGATGAGCCAGCCTTACATCTATATCATCTTTGCCCAATCCTGCTGATTTGCATTTGACTAGATCACATCCTCCTGCCACAATGACTTCATAATGAGCTGTTCACACCTGTGCAGCAGTCAGTCCCAGTCAGCACACAGCATGGACATGAGGACCACTGCTCAGCTCCTGGGGCTCCTGCTGCTCTGCCTCCCAGGTAAGGAAGGATAATACTTCTCTCACCCTGTGTGGTCAGTGATGCCTGCAGCTTCAGTGATGTCCTGTAATAACATGACTAATAATGTGGCTATTTGCTTTTATATTTCTAATGCCAGGTGCCAGATGTGACATCCAGATGTCCCAGTCTCCTTCCTCCCTGTCCGCATCTCCAGGAGACACAATCACCATCTCCTGTAAAGCCAGTCAGGGTATTAGCAGGGTATTAAACTGGTATCAGCAGAAACCAGGGAATTCCCCAAAGCTCCTGATCTATTACACTTCAAATTTGGCCTCTGGGGTCCCATCCAGATTCAGTGGAAGTGGATATGAGACAGATTATACTCTCACCATCAGCAGCCTTCAGCCTGAAGATTTTGCCACTTATTACTGTCAACAGCATATTAATTACCCTCCCACAGTGATACAAGCCATTATCAAAACCTCCCAGGAAAGCAGAAGTGAGATGTTGGCCTGCTTTAGCTGCTTTGCCTAGTTGCTCTACCTGTTGACACTGCTACTCAGATGCAGCCAAATTCTAAAGAAAGAATTGTCTGCAATCTAGCATTCTGTTGTTCTTAGCCCCAGCAAAATACCCATGGTACTGAGTCTGATTTAGTAGTTGAAACAAATTCTTATATATGAGGAGTGCCCATCAATTATTTTGGACATTCCACTTCACTAAATTATAAAATAGGTCATTTCCAATTAGTTTCTTTATAGAAACTAAAAAAACTGCTCAAATAAAAATGATCTTTGTGGTTTTCTGAATTGATGTATTAAAGAATCTACAGTACAATTTATATTGGCCACTGATCTTCTGCAAGTCAGTGTCTTCCTTTCCTCTCCAAATACAACTCTGTTAAGTGATATTTCAATTTCTTACTTCACAAATATCCACCTTACAGAACAAAACATTTCAATAGATGGTCCTTCAACTGTTATAAATATCCTAACCCCTGCCTCATTCAAGCCAACCTAGATCAGAAGCTTAGGAGCTTTACTAGTTTTGGTTGATGTCAATATATCAGCTGGTGTCCACCTGACTCAGGAATCAACTGTATGGATAATAAAGACCTCCAATTCTATTGGCAAGTCTGTCCTCTTCAACTTAATTTCCATTTGTTAGAAAAGGTGTCTACTACTGTTCCTCAGGAAAAACATAAAAATACAAGAGCAAGATGATCTCAAGGACAAGGAAGAAATGAGATAATATAAAAAAAGTGAGCACACTTTTTGAGAGTTAGTGATTCAATAAGCTCATGCAGGCTCTGAAGTGTGTGCTCAGAATTATGAATGTAACAGGAGGAATTAAGAGGCCTCACATCGTAGCACAATTCTCAGTCCAGTTTGTCATTAATAATGGACTCAGAAAAGAAGATAAAGATGAGTTCTGACACAATGGCCTTCTATTGGCATCCTCACAGAGCCAAAGACCAGGAGGGAGAAGGAACCAGGACCAGCACCACATCAGCAGTGTTGAACTTGGCTTCATAGTACTTCAGAAGCAGAGAGGACTAATTTGGTGCCCTCTCCCATGGCTCAATCTAGCAGAATCAAAGGTACAAACTCTTGTGAGGAAAAATCTCATTCCACAGCCACCATTCACCTATAAAAGGTTTTAGAATTTTAAAAAATGTAATTCATATAAATGTAAAGCTTATAAAATGTGGTCTATTTTATGTCAATATTCTTTTACTCAATATGCTTTCAATGCAAATTCAAAAAGAGAAGCAGACAAAAAACATGCATTTAAAACTACACAGATTCTTGCAATGATAGGATGGGAATTGTTTAATATATTGAGTGACAAAGTAGAGAATATATTTATTTTGTTGAAGCTTCCTGCCTCCTACCCATCAGTCATTTCTCATCCATTTTTATTTTTCAGACAGGTAGCATGCTTGTACCTTAATAGGGCTGGCAATGCACTTTCAACTTCAGACTTTTATTCTCATAGTATAGAAGAATGAGTTTGGATCTTTTCACAAATATTCACTGAAACTTAAAATCCAGGATGAACTTGGGTCAGGAAGGGTTCAAGATTTCCCTTTCTTTCATGATCATAAACCAGGTACCACTTTGAGCCCCACCTATTGGAAACAGATATAAGTTGAGATCTAGCTAGACTTAAAAGAGAGGTTTCTACTGCAGTCCTAATTTTTTATGAACTGTACAGTCAATAGATGTTTACACATATCACTGGGATTGCAAAAAGACTCTCTCTAGAAAGCTCTTGAGAATGTACAAGGCCATTAAGATATTATAAAAGAATCAGGTCTTGAGACAAGTTCTACAAACACCCACAGGCAAACCTGGACAGTGGTTAGAGACACATTCACTGGATCTAAACCGCAGGTCACATGGATTCCCCAGAGCTCTGAATCTTTCTTGAATAGAGTACTTGCATCATCCCCAGAGAGGAGACCAGAACACAGTTCCCTGGGACTATGCAACTTGTCCTTAGTCCTGTTTCAATTGGATTCCATATTCCAATGGATGAAAGTCATTGTACTTAAAATTAACAGAACTCATTTTCCTTTTTTGTTATTATTAAATTTTTTTATTGTGAAAATACCATACAGAGAAGTTACAGTTCCATGGCCAAGATAATGAGTACATTTCTTATCAAACATTGTTGCCTTCTCCTTTGTTTCCCCTTCCCATCCTTTCCCATCTCCCCCCTTCCCCTCTCCTCCCCTCCTCCTCGGCCAAAGTTGGAAAGTTCATTTTTCAACATAATGTCTTGTACATCTCATTGATGCAATGGGTCCACATGTATCCCCATTTAAACAATTTGTTATTTACCTTCCCATCCACAAATTATACCAACATCAAAAACAGTGAAAACTGGGGTTATACCGTGGGGGAGGGACATACAAACAACAAAGTAATCATCTTGTAAATATGTTAGAAACAATAGCAAGAAAGAAAAACGATTTGAGTCCTTATCATGGGGTTCATTGAGACTAATATCAATTCATCTGACAATTTCTGCTTGTCACAGACATATACTAGTAATTGCAAATAAGGAAATCCATGGGACCTATGTTTCTTTGGGCCTGGCTTACTTCACTTAATATATTGTTTTCCAAGGCTTTCCATTTCCTAACGAATGGGGCAATGCCATTCTTTCTGATGGAGATATAGAATTCCATTGTGTGTATATACTAAATTTTTTTTGATCCATTCATTTGCTGAGGAGCATCTGGGTTGGTTCCATATCTTAGCTATGGTAAATAATGCTGCAAAAACATAGTTGTGCTGGTAGCTTTAGTGTGGTCTTCTTTGTAAACATTTGGGTAAATACCCAAAAGTGGGATTGCTGGGTCATAGGGGAGCTCTATGTGAAGTCTTTTGAGGAACCTCCATACTGCTTTCCAAAGTGGTTGAACAAGTTTACACTCCCACCAACAATGAAGTAGGGTTCCCTTCTGTCCACATCCCCTCCAGCATCTGTTGTTGTTAGAGTTCTTGATTATAGCCATTCTAACTGGGGTGAGGTGGTATCTCAATGTTGTTTTGATTTGCATTTCTTTTATGGCTAGGAAGGCTGAGCATTTCTTCATGTGTCTATTGGCCTTCCTTCTTTCTTCTTTAGAGAAGTTTCTCTTTAAGTCTTTAGCCCACTTATTTATTGGGCAGTTGTTTCCTTGAGAATTTGTTGTTGGGGGATTTAATTTTTTGAGTTCCAAGTATATTTTAGATATGAGACCCTTGTCTGTTGTATGGCTAGTGAAGATCTCCCAATCTGTGGGCTTTCTATATCTTGCTAGCTATGTCCTTTGCCATGCAAAAGCTCTGCAACTTCATGCAATCCCATTTGTCCAAGCTTTCTTTGATTTGTTGTGTTTCCAGGTCTCTATTAAGAAAATTTCAGCCTGAGCCAAGGAGGCCTAGGTTTTCTCCTATTCTATCCTGTAATGTTTTCAGAGTGTCTGCTTTGACTCCGAGGTCTTTGATCCATTTGGAGTTGATTCTGGTGCAGGGTGATATATAAGCATCTAGCTTTAGTTTTCTACAAGTAGTTAACCAATTTTGCCAGCACCACTTACTGAAGGGGCTGTCTTTCTTCCATTCTATTATTTTAGCTCACTTATCCAAGATTAGTTGGCTATAGGTCTGCAGGTTCATTTCTGGGTTTTCAATTCAATTCCATTGGTCTTGAGGTCTGTTCTTATGCCAGTACCAAGCTGTTTTGATTACTATGGCTTTATAATAGAGTTTGACATTTGGTATTGATATTGCTCCATCAGTGTTCTTTCCGTTGAGGAGCGTTTTTGCTATTCGGGGTCTTTTATTGTTCCATATGAATTTTTGGATTGCCTCTTCTATTTCCTTGAAGAATGATGTTGGAATTTTTTTTTTTGGTTTTTAATTTAATTTTATATTATTTGAGAACATACTGTACAGAGGGGTTACAATTACATGGGCAGGATAATGCGTACATTTCTTACCAAGCATTGCAGCCTCCTCCTTTGTTTACCCTTCACTTCCCTTCCCAGCCTCCCCCGTCCCCCCCACCCAATCATACCCCCCCTCCCCCCCCACCGACATTGTAAAGCTGGTTTTGACATGACATTTTGTACTTCTCATTGTTGCAACAGGTCCACCTGAATCCTTAAACAACTTGTTTGTCCCCGTCTCCTCCACATGTTATACTGACATCAAATATAATGAAAGCGGTGGTTACACTGTGGGGGAGGGACATACAAAGCAAAAAAAAATAATCTTATAAATGCGTTAGAAACACATGCATGAAAGAAACAAAAACATTAAAATACATATTTGAGGGTTCGTTTTCCTAACATCACATTCTCTAACTTTTTCCGCTTGACTCCTATACTACACTACCTATACCTATACTAGATATTGCAAATAAGGGAAACCATGGGACCTATGTTTCTTTGGGCCTGGCTTACTTCACTTAATATAATTTTTTCCAAGCCTTTCCATTTCCTAACAAATGGGGAAATGTCATTCTTTCTGATGGAGGCATAGAATTCCATTGTGTATATATACCACATCTTCTTGATCCATTCATCTACTGAGGGGCATCTGGGTTGGTTCCATATCTTAGCTATGGTAAATAATGCTGCAATAAACATAGTTGTGCTGGTAGCTTTAGTGTGGCCTTGTTTGTGATCATTTGGGTAAATGCCCAAAAGTGGGATTGCTGGGTCAATGGGGAGCTCTATGTGGAGTCTTTTGAGGAACCTCCATACTGCTTTCCAAAGTGGTTGAACAAGTTTCCATTCTTTACATTCTTTAAGTCTTTCACCCAGTTACTTATTGGGCAGTTGTTTCTTTGAGGATTTGTTGTTGGGTGGTTTAATTTTTTGAGTTCCAAGTATATTTTAGATATGAGACCCTTGTCCGTTGTATGGCTAGTAAAGATCTTCTCCCAGTCCGTGGGCTTTCTATTGATCTTGCTAGCTATGTCATTTGCCCTGCAGAAGCTCTGCAACCTTATACAATCCCATTTGTCCAACCTTT